ATCGTAATATTGATCATTCTGTGCCACCGGTTCGTATGCCTAGTGGGGAGAAGGCTTCAATTACTACAACAGGATCATTCCCTCTCAATTCTACTTATACTTTGCGTGATGTGCTATGTGTACCTACTTTCACAGTAGATTTGATGTCTGTGAGTAAGCTTACAAAAAATTTGAATTGTTCAGTGACTTTTTTCCCATATTATTGCGTTTTGCAGGACCTTGCTACGAGGAAGACGATTGGTTTGGGTAAGCAACTTGACGGGCTTTATTACTTGGTGGCACTATTGGCGGAGACAACCCCCAACACAACCCACCAAAATCCCGCTCACCGTCCATCCTGCAATCACACTGTCACCACTACCGACCTTTGGCATCGTCGTCTTGGCCATGTTTCTTCCTCCAGATTACATTTTATGTCTAAGCATCTACTAGATTTCCCTTTTGTCTCTAATAACGCTTGTCATGTTTGTCCCTTGGCAAAGCAGAGTCGTCTCCCTTTCGGAACAAGTTCAATCTCATCTGTCAAACCATTTGATTTAATTCATTGTGATATTTGGGGCCCTTATAAGCATTCGTCAATTTCTGGTGCCCATTATTTTCTTACAATAGTTGATGATTTTTCTCGCTTTACTTGGGTATTTTTAATGCGCCATAAACATGAGACTCAACATCTTTTAAAAACCTTTTTTTCTTTTGTTGGCACTCAATTTGATTCCCAAATTAAACAGCTTCGTGCCGACAATGGGGGGGAATTTCTTTCTCTTCAGACTTTCTTTCATGAACAAGGCGTCATTTTTCAACACTCTTGCGTTTATACGCCTCAACAAAATGGGGTCGTAGAACGTAAGCATCGCCACATCCTTGAAACGGCTCGTGCTTTAAAACTTCAGGCTAATCTTCCTTCAAAATTTTGGGGGGAATGTGTTTTAACTGCAGTTCATCTCATCAACCGTTTTCCTACTCCTCTTCTTTCTTTTCACACTCCTTTTGAACGTCTTTATTCCAAAACACCATCTTTCTCTCATCTCCGTGTTTTTGGTTGCCTTGCATATGCCACTAATGTTCATGTCACACATAAATTCGCTCCTCGTGCAATTCCATCTGTTTTCCTTGGTTATCCCCTCGGCCAAAAAGCTTTCAAACTTTATGATCTTGAGTCTCACAAAATTTTCACAAGTCGTGATGTTAAGTTCCATGAAAATATTTTTCCCTACCACACTTTTCCTTCCCCATCACTTTCGGTTCCCTCTGCCTTTCCGGCACCTCCTTTCCCTTCTGACGTCGACCCCATTTTTTCTTCGTCCCCAGCCGCTCCTTTCCCTGAGTCGACCCCCACCAGTCCACATCCCTTGCCTTCGTCCCCACCTGACACCACCACCGCGCCTGCTGAGCCCAGTCCACCTTTGCTCTCATCCCCACCAGCTGGGCACGTCCCCGGTTCACCCGTCACCAGTCCACATGCACCCGCACCTGACCCACCCCCTCTCCGCCGATCTGAACGCATCCCTGTGCCTTCCGTTCGCTTACGTGACTACATCTGCAATCAAGTCATGTTGCCCATCCCTGATCACTCGTCTTCTTTACTGCCGGGTCCTACTAAAGGTACACGTTTTCCGCTCTGCAATTTTCTCTCATATCATCGTTATTCCCCCGCTCACTTTGCTTTCATTGCAAAAGTCAGTACTATTGTTGAACCCAGTTCTTATGAGGACGCTGCTCCCCACTCTCATTGGCAAGAGGCCATGCAGTCTGAATTGCAGGCTTTGTCTGATAACCACACTTGGAGTCTTACTCCGTTACCTGCTGGAAAGAAGCCCATTGGTTGTCGGTGGGTGTATAAAGTCAAGCTTAAGTCTGATGGCTCGGTTGAGCGCTACAAAGCCCGGTTGGTTGCTAAAGGTTTTACTCAGCTAGAAGGTGTTGATTATCATGATACCTTTTCTCCTACTGCCAAAATGCCCACTATCCGCTGCCTTCTCGCTCTTGCTGCCGCCCGTAATTGGTCCCTTCATCAGCTTGATGTCAACAATGCTTTTCTTCATGGTGATCTCCATGAGGAAATCTACATGCTCCCTCCACCTGGTCTTCGGCGACAGGGGGAGAACTTGGTATGTCGCCTTCATAAATCTCTTTATGGTTTAAAGCAAGCTTCTCGTCAATGGTTTGCTAAGTTTTCTCAGGCCATTTGTTCTACTGGTTACATTCAATCTAAAGCTGACTATTCATTATTTACACGCCATAAGGGGCACTCTTTCACAGCATTATTGATTTATGTTGATGACATTGTTATCACGGGCAATGACCCTATAGCTGTCTCGGCACTCAAGGTTTTTTTGCACCGTCATTTTCGTATTAAAGATCTTGGAGATTTGAAATACTTTTTGGGGATTGAGGTATCAAGATCAAAACAGGGCATTTTCTTATCTCAACGCAAGTATGCATTGGAAATTTTGAAGGATGCAAAACTCCTAGGTGCCGCACCTGTTGATTTTCCTATGGAAAAAGGTCTTAAGCTCTCAGATAAGGGTGAATTACTTAAAGATCCAGCTCAGTATAGAAGACTCGTTGGTCGCTTGATTTATTTGACCATCACAAGGCCAGATATTACTTACTCTGTTCATGTCTTAAGTAGGTTTATGCATGCCCCACGTAAACCTCACATGGAGGCTGCACTTCGTATTCTTCGTTATTTAAAAAAATCGCCAGGTCAAGGCATATTATTGTCTTCTCAGAATGACTTGACTTTGCGTGCCTTCTGTGATTCTGATTGGGCAGGTTGTCCTAATACTAGAAGGTCCACTACAGGCTATTGTGTGTTTCTGGGATCTTCTTTAATTTCATGGAAATCGAAGCGGCAGAAAACTGTATCTTTATCATCAGCAGAAGCTGAATATAGATCTATGGCAGCAGCATGTTGTGAGTTATCTTGGCTTCGATCCCTCCTCAAGGATTTGCGCATTCTTCATCACCAATCTGCTTTGTTGTATTGTGACAACAAGGCAGCTTTACATATTGCTGCCAATCCAGTATTTCATGAGAGAACAAGACATATTGAGATGGATTGCCATTTTATTCGAGATAAGATTCAGGAAGGTTTGATTGCCACACAACATGTGAGTTCGTCCTCTCAGTTAGCCGATATTCTTACTAAGGCATTGGGACGAGAAGAATTCAACAATCTTGTTCGCAAGTTGAGAGTTCTTGATATCCACTCTTCAACTTGAGGGGGAGTGTAGGAAATCAGTTTGTATAATATCAATTAATATCAATACTGTTGTAATTAGGATTTACTTTCCTAGTAAGTTCCCTAGAATAGAGGACACGTTTCCTAGTATACTTAGAACTCTCTTGTATAAAACCAATTGTACCTATCAATGAAAATTACTCTCTTCCAATATCATATTCACACTTCTTGATGTAAAGACACATCTTGTTGGGCGCTACTAATAGGTAGATTAGAAACAACAGGTAGAGGAACTAAATCTGGAAAATACTTCCCCTGAGATCGAAAATGTAATGAGCGCCATTTAGCTTTAAACGAAAGCTGGAAGAAAAGGTAATGAGCTCCATTTAGCTTTATAATTTTTTAAGTGGCCTCTAAAGTTGGAATACAATCACTTCATTCTTAATCTATTATGCAGTCAGAATCTGGGACAGCCAGTGAATATCGTGGAGAATCATCTTTACATCTCGGTAACCGGCAGAACATGAAAAGCAATATATGGAGAGTTATTGCAAAAGGGGACATAAAGATCGTTCTTCATCAAGATTTTTACGTCGCCAATGCCTTAGCAATTTGTGTCATAAAAGAGATAAATGTTCTCTTTCAAATGGTGATCATAAAGGCATGGATTCTTCCCCTTATCCACTTCGCCACTGTGGGGAGAACATGTCTAGTTGTGCCACGAGGTAACATTCCTATATGCTTCTTTTTGCAGGCTTGAATAGCTAATGACTAACCCCTTTAGTTTGATAATTTGCAATATCTGAAGGCAGTGTGTGGAGTAATTTTCTCCTCTTGATAATGATTTCTCTGGATGTGTTTGTCAAGTTTAAATACTTACTCACTTGTGGGATATATCTACAGCAACAAGCATCCTCAAAAGGACAGGACAAGGCGTACATCTTAGTCGAAGAGGCTGTAGCATATAAGGCTGTAGCATTTTAACGAGAGGGAGGATACCAGTTTGACCAGGACAAGGCGCACATCTTAGTCATTTACGTTACTGGCCATTCTTGGTGAATTAGCATGATGCTTCATCAGTAGGAAAGAAAATTAGGGCTAAAAGTCATGGCGGACTTCTTAAGCTAATGTTCACAATTTACATTGTATGTTAAGGAGTGAAGCTGTCTTTTTGAAGTGATTTCCGTCATTTACTTAGTTATAATCTCTCTTTTAGTGTGTTTTTGTCCTTATTCTGTCTTTCATTTTCACTTCACTTTAATTTTCACTTGCGCGTTTGTGCTGATGAAACTAAAATGACAAACATTTTCAATCAATTTTTGTCTCTTTTTTGGGGATCAAACTGAAATCAACTCCATTGACTGCTTAAAATACATCCAGCACAATCAAAGGACTAGAGGAGTAAATTAGCGGCCTCGTTAAAACCTGGCCATAAAAAACCTCCCAAAGGAGGAAAATCCGGTTAAGGAAAGAGTACCACACTCCTTTCTTTTGTCATTTACGTTGAAATGAGTCTGTTAGCGTCTTGAGCTGAAGAAGCTGAAGCAACCCGAAGGAGCACTGTTTAACGTGTTAATTGCCTCCAGCATGGAAACCAACCTCCTCCATTTCTGGCCTTCTCTTGGGTTATCCATCCCAGCACTGTTTCATCACTTTGGCTAGAGAGCTTGGGCATTGCTTGGGTATCTCTGGCCTCAAATTCTGAAGCAGCACATAAGTACAAAAATAATAAGTTTGGGGTCACTCAGACAGACTACATTATAAAAGAAAGAAAGATGGAAAGAGAAATGACATACTTTGTAAACAACAGCTGAAGTCAATTCGGAGAATGTGATGTTAGGGTAGGGCATATCGCAGCAATACATCTCCCACAAGCAAATCCCGAAGCTATAAACGTCGCATTTTCTGTTGTAGGGTTTACATTCCAAGACCTGCATCATCATCATCATATCATTCAATCAGAACATTTGGTATTGATCAGATTGCGCAAAATTGGTATGCGCGACGAATATGATTTCGCCGCGCAAAGTTCATGCAGCTCGCGCGACGGAGTAATCCGTCGCGCAGTTTTCTGGCGACGACCACTGTTTCGTCGCGCAAATATTTGTGCGACGGACAATGAGGTCGTCCCGAAATGTTTTTTTAAACGAAGTTGTTATACGTAGCGCAAAGTTAGAAACGTATGTATTAATATTACACTATTACTTAGGTCTAGGAAGAGAAATCAACAAAGATAAATAATATATGTAGGAAAAGAGAGATACCCTTTAGCAAGATCAACTGCCAGTCGTTTGACTGTCTTGATAGGCAACTTCTTTTTTCGGTGTTGTATGATGAAGGCTTTTAGGGTTCCTCCAGAAAGATACTCAGTAATAACAGAGGCAGAGTCGGTATCTGTTGTGGCTCCAATACACTAATCACCAAGAAAATTAAAGAAAAAGAATTAATAACAAATAAAGATGAAAATATTTGAGAGTAGACCGAGGAACGAAAAGCAAAAACAAAAACAAATAACCATTGTCGTAGTACCTTAGTAATGTTAGGATGATCAAGCTTATGCCAAATTGAAACCTCCTGCCTAAAATCTTTCTTCAAAGAAGCTATTTCAGCTTTTGTTCGGCCGTCTTCTCTCCACTCCAATATTTTGACTGTATAATTAAAGAAAAAATAAAAGATACACTTTCAGTGAAGTTCGAAAAAATTATGTACACATATATATACACATGAATTTGTGCATGTAAACATATTTAATTACCATACCTGCAACTTCTTGCCCATCGTAGATGCCTTTATGGACAGTACCGAAGCCTCCACGAGCAAAAACTTGTTTCACGACAAGTTTCTCTCGAATGATTTTCCGTTCTTGAGGAACTTCTTTGGCCGCCACGTCTCTCACGTTGATGACTTTGCTTTCTTGGTCATGCAACTCTTTCTTCTTCTTCATAAAGCGCAGGTGGAGATTCTCCAACTGCTCGTCCAAACTTTTCACGTCAATCTTGGTTGCCAATGCCATTTCTTTAGTATGAGAGTTTATGAGAGTTTTGAGTTTGTGGTTTGGTGTGGTGTGGTTGGGTATATATTTTAGGTATGAGAGTTAGGATGTTTGAGTTGTATATATAGAGTCGAACCACGAGGCCTTAAGAGGGGCTGAAATTCTTCCTCAAATTGGGCAACGAAGGAAAATTATATTCGTCGAGCAAGTATTTTCTTGCGTCTTCTCCCCACTCCATCACTTTGATTGTATAATCAAGAAAAAAAAAAGCAAAAAAGATACACCTTCAGTGAAGTTTGACAAAATTATGCGCATACATATATATACATGAATGTGCGCATGTAAACATAGATTTAATCACCGACCTGCAACTTCTTGTCCATCGTAGATGCCTTTATGCACAGACCCGAAGCCTCCATGGGCAAAAACTTGTTTCACAAGAAGTTTCTCTCGAATGATCATTTGGCTTTTTCTTCTTGAGGAGCTTCTTTGGCCGCCACAGCTCTCATGTTGATGACTTTGTTGCTTTCTTCGTCATGCAACTCTTTCTTCTTCTTCATAGAGTATAGTCGGTGGAGATTCTCTAACTTTTCGTCCAAACTTTTCACGTCAATCTTGGGTGCCAAAGCCATTTCTTTAGTATGAGAGTTGAAGAAATGGACAACTGCTTTCTTTCACCTAGCATTAGAACTATTTATTTATTTATATACAGACCCCAAAATACCAAAATGGACCTTTAAACCATTTATCACATTTGTGTTCGGCCCACCAACGATGTGGTGCATAAGTAAAATTTATTCATTATTTAAGAAGATAATCCTGCCCTAAATTTACAAAATTAAAAAGATTAAGCACCAAATGCTGTGGTATCTTTTTTCCATAAAAATAAAAATAAAAAATAAAAAACGTAGATATACATCTTATTTTGTTAAAAGGAAAAAAAATTAGTGGAACCATGCAACTGACGACATCTCTTGCGCCCTTGGCTTAAGGCTTAAGCTTTGCTTCTCACATATGAGTAATCTAGTTGCTCCGCTTCTCACACATAAGTAATCTAGTTGTATTTGTCACCGAAAACAGGGGAAAACTCATGATCTTGGAAACCCTAGTTCCTACTTTCACCAATAAAAGCTCATGTTGACCCTATATATAGGGTTAGGAACTTAGGATGGAGGACACACGTAAAATCACACTTTCTGACACTATTAAACCTATGGAATTAAGTAAGTTTTAACGACTAGAAATACATTTGTATAGATTATTGACTGTTTAGAAAATATAAACATTGGGAACAACCCAACAGCCCAACTTTTAAGACTATTAATTATTTTATATTCTCTCCCCCTCTCTTTGTTTTTTTTTTGGTTTTCTGGGCAATCCTTTCCTTTCATCTTCTATCTTCTCTCTCCTTGCTTATTATAGCGTTATTGTACAAGAGTTTACACACACACCCTCAAAACGTTTCCAACGAATTCCCCAATGAAAAGAGTTTTCTAGCTTAATTATTTTATTCTTCATAACATTTGGTTGCTGAAAAGATACAAATATTATTAAGGAGTGAAGGAAATAAAGATTTGCCCTAAAGTGGTTCAACTCAACAGTAGTGAATGGAGGTCGGGAACCACCAAACACTGATTTGGGTATGAAATGAATTCATTAACTTGCTGATTTGGTTCAGCTTCATAAAACGTGTCCTGCGATCTTTACAAAAAATATTGATTCGAAAACTGATTCTTCTTTTGTTATCAGGAATGTTTCAGAGTTCTTTTTGTTTTTCAGGAGGAATTCGAACCAAAACAAAAAAAGCTTAAAGGAGAAAAACAATACAGGAGGAACGGTCCTCCATTCCATCTGAACTGTGCTAGATAAACTTCAAAAAAAAAAAATATATATATATATATATATTAAGATAGTAGAGTTTAAGATTTCCAATCTTCTTCTTACAAAGTTTCTGTATGTCTAGTTTATTTTCTTGCAGATTAGGTAGCTCCTTCATATATATTTTTTTTTCTGGAGAACTTTCCCATAAAAATGGTGAAGAGAGTTTTGCCAAAGAAGAAGATGAAGGTTGGGTCCGGACCGGTGGCCTTGGGAAGTGAGGAGGATGATGCATATTGTAGAAAAAGGAGAGAGAAAATGAAAAGTTTAAGAGGAATGCTAGCAACCTTCTCTCTAACCTTCTCTTTTGGACCTTCTCCCTTCTTCTCATGACAAGTGTCATTTTCCTTACACTTAAAACAATGTCATTAATGCATCACACAAGTTAGTTTTTGTTTTCCAAGTTTACCCTTTTAAAATATATTAGCTTTTATATTTCCTTCAATTTATTCAAATTTTGTTTCACTTCTTTAGCACATTATTAAAAATTAAATAATAATTTTATATAATTAAAAAAACGTCATTTTTTTTTCTTTAAAAATAAAGTCAACATCTTTATTTTGTTTTTAACAAAACACACGTTCTCTTTGGAAAAAAAAAAATTTAGTTTTTATTTTCTTATTTTATTTTTTTAACAAGGTAGTAAGAAAGTTGTAAAAAAAAATTAGCTTGTTATTAAAAAAAATTAATACATTTAATAAGAGTAAACTTGGAAAACAAAAACTAGTTTGTATGATGTATTAATGACATTGTTTTAAGTGTAAAGAAATTGGCACTTGTCATGAGAAGAAGAGAAAAGGTCCAAAAAAGAAGGTTGGAGAGAAGGTTGCTAGCAAGGCTACTTCCACATCTAGAGTCAGTTTAAAACTTTTTGTTAGCTCCAATGTGTATTAATTATTTAACAAAGAAGCTAATAATTATGCAATCTTAGCCATTGAAAGCACTACAATCTAATGGTTTAAAATCCGTGTCATAATGTGTGTAAAAAATATGTGTCCCCCGTTCCTCTTCTGCGAATATTTTTTTCAACGATCTAAACGGTCTATTTTTCAAGTCTTCATTCATAGATCATCCTTGTAAAAACTCATACTAATTGAAAATCAATAAGGCAACTGGTTGGGAAAAACAAAATAGATGAACACAGTGCTTCAAGAAAATGCTATAATAACAACCATCTAATTGAGTGATCAAGTGGTTTCGGATTCAAGTGATTTTTTGCAGAGAAGATCTTTGAGAGAATATCTAAAAACTAGATGGTTCACATCATTGTAATACAACACATGGTAGACCCTACAAAGATATCCCTCAAATAAGTTATTCAAGGAATCCCTTAATTAAAACTCTCTAATATACTTATTTTACTTTGTAGTCATCTAAACCCTTAAATCACATCATTCAAAATGAAATATTAGATTACATTGAGTTTCGGATTGGCGAGTTGCTCTTTACGGGTTGGGATCTCTTGTCTCCAAATTTCATATCCCCTTATGTCCCTTGTGTAAAATTTTGACCCATGTCCCTCTAGTTATCTGAAGCTAAGCTCTGTTAACTCTTATAAAACAAAAATAAAAAAATACAAATTTACACCATATTATCTCCTCGGTCCCTTTGTCTTCTGTCCACCATGGCAAATGACGTTTTCTTTCTCTTTTTTCCTCCATCCAAGGAATCCAAGTGGGGTAGTGCTGCTTAATAATGGTGAAGTGTAGCAGCACTCATAGGTGGGTGGGGAAATATGACAGGGAGTGGAAATAACAGCACTCATAGGAGGGAAAATGAAACCCTCCTCCCTATTGGGTTTCATTTTCCCAGGAGAAACTATGGGAAAAAGAGCCAACAAATTCACATTTTTCATAACTATTTTATCCCCATTAACAATGTAGAATTATGACATAACATTAAATTCATTCTTTTTTATTTGATTTAATATGAGTATAATTGGAAAATTAAACAAATTTTATTTTACATTCATATGCAAACCAGACGTGAGAAATGAAATAAAATGATATTTTCTTGTTACTTTCTTAGCATTACCAAACATTAAGAAAAGGCATGAGAGATTATTTCTCATAAAATCTTTTCTGCAAATCGAACGAGGCCTAAGTCTTTTAGCACATTTGTGGTCGGCCCACCAATGATATGAAGAGTGCAAAAGTAAAACTTATTTATTATTAATAAATCATTGTACGTACTTCCTCATACTTTTAACGAGGGCAAAATATTATTTGGCACTCTTATTTGCAATTTCACTATCTCATTTATAAGTTGTTCATGTAAAATCCAACAGTTCTTTGGTAACCAAATAATTGTGTACCAAATCATAGTTTCAGTTTCATGCCGAACTCATTTTTAATTGAGTTAGGGGTAAAATGTAAACGGTGTGATACAAGTAATTTTAAGACTTGCTAGCTACTTGTAATTTTTCAATTCAATGTAATTGATATTAGGCGACATCTAATTACATTTATTTTAATTTCAGAGGAAAAAAAAAATTAAGATATTGAAGGATACTAAAAAGTTAAACCTGCAGCTTCTCGGCCATCACATATACCTTTATGGACAGAACTGAAGACTCCACGGGCAAACACTTGTTTCACAACAAGTTTCTTTGTATGTATATTCAAAGTTATTGATTTTCTAAAACCAAAACAATATGACAATGTTTGATCATGAACTTGTATTGTTACTTTAAGACTTGCCAAAACGATAGGTTATGGTTACTTTTAGCATTCTTTTGATCAAAGTGGAACAGGAAGGGCAAATCGATGACCTCATAAAATCTTACCATGAAAAACCTCCAGAGGAGGAAATCCGGCCCACAAAAGAGTTCCACACTTTGTCATTTAATTCAGCAATCTCAAGCATTTAAATAATACAAATTGGGTTGAGTTGAGTCTGTTGGCATCTTCAGCTGAACAATTTGAAACAATCCAACGGAGCATGATATATTGTAATTCTAAATTGTTAATGAGGACAAAATAGTCATGAAAAATGTGCATTTAATATTGACTCACACTACTACAAAAAAGGCAAAAGACGACGGGAATTCACCGTCGTGTATTCGGTTTTCAAACAGTCGTGAAATCGACCGACATATATTTGGGTGTCAAACTACGACGGCTTTTCACCTTTTTTAAAGAAAATCGTCGTTGTTTAGAGGTAAAGATCGTTAATTATAGGAGAAAAGACGACTGTTTTTAATAAAACCGTCGTGTATTGTATGTAAAGAGGACGATTTTTTATGAAAACCGTCATGGATTGTTTATACAGACAACGGTTGTTTTATAAAAACCGTCATTTTTACATTCAATTGACGACCTTTTTAAAAAATGTCATCTTTACTTAACAATAGACGACCCTTTTTTAAAAAAAACGGTCATCTTTACATATAATAGGCCACCCTTTTTAAGAAAAACCGTCATCTTTACTTCATAATAGACGACGGTTTTTATAAATAAAAAAGGTCATCTTTACATATAATAGACGATAGTTTTTATTAAAAGCGTCATCTTTACATATAATAGATGACGGTTTGTATAAAAATCGTCATCTTTACATATAATAGATGATGATTTTTTTATTAAAAGCGTCATCTGACAGGACTCGACCCAAATTCCACTTTGGAATCCGAGCCAAACCCTGTTCGTGATCAATAACTGGCGGGTGCCGAGCACAATTGACT